AGGCGGAGGAACTGGGGGCTGCGGGGCTGGGGGCCGCGGGGGCTTAGGAGGCCGGACTGCGGAGTTGGGGTCTGGGGAGCAGGGGCCTGGGGCTCGGGCCGCGGAGCTGGGGACTGGGGGGGCTTGGAGTGTGGGCTGCCGGGTTGAGGGGTCGGGGGTCGGAATGCTGGCAACGGGTTTTTAGGCTGAGAGCCAGGGTCGGTGGTCCCGTGGTGGGGGGTGCTCGGGCCTCCTGTCTCAGCCCCAGGACGCTCTGCCTGGGCGGGGCCTGGGTTGTGCGGTCTTGAAAGCCTCTGGGGCGAGTTTGGGAGCAGGCTCGAGCTTTCTTTATTTGGCTAAAGTTGTCTCGCTTTGCTAAAGGGCGATTTTATTTTATTGAGCATTTATTATGCAGCACGTGGTATTCTGCATGCTGAAGACACAGCAATAAACAAAACAGACAAAAACCCCTGCCTTTATGGAGTTTTGAGCTTTATACTATTTTAAAAATTACTTTCTTCCGGAAGGGTCTCCTGAGCCCAGGAGGTCAAGGCTGCGGTGAGCCCTGATCGTTTCACCACACTCCAGCTGGGGCGACAGAATGAGACCCTGATTCAAAAGAATATATATAGAGAGAGTCTTCAGTAAATTATCTCTAATTGTAAAAAAAAAAATTACTTTTTCTAATTAGTTTTTTCTTTAACAGTAACTTAATACCAGATGCATTCTTTACTTACTTGGAATGATTTTCACATAAAATTGAATTTACCTTCTCCCTAGAAAGTAAACCACTTGCTTTAACCATTCATTAAATAATTCTTCGTCTCCTCACTGATACATAATGCAAAGGGCTATTTTAAAAAAATGTTCCCTACCTCATTCAGCATGAGAAGGCAAATAGAACAGAAATGCTGTGAACCCGGAGAAAACCCCACTGTTTAATTAGAGCATTCTGTGCTGCTGCCATATTTAAAATCATGGAACAGGAAAGGATCCTGGGATGTGTCATTCCAGCTTCGGTTTCATACCTCCAGAGAGCTGTGAATAGACCAGAATGATCTGTCATGGGGGAGGAACCTTGGCACTTGACCTTCTTGTTTCTTTTGTCTGGGAAGCTGGGCATGCCATGAGTTGTGTCAGGTATATGCAACTGTTAAGAGAGAACCCAGGTTGAAGCCAAACTGATTCCTTTGTATTCTGTACTTATTCTGTTTTAGTAAATTTTGGAGTTACTAAAAGACAATCTGCGATAAATGTCAGTGTGAATTCCCTTTGTCATAGCAGCTGCTGGCAGCAATCCAGTTCACCCACAGGGGAATCCAGCTCATTAAGGCTGTATTCACTTGCTAGTACCACATGCTGGGTGGCTTATACAACTGAAATTTATTTACTCACAGTCCTGGAGACTGGAAGTTCAAGATCAAGGTGCTGGCAGGGTTGGGTTCTTCTAAGGGTCAAACAAGCAGGATGTTCCAGGGCTCTCCCCTTGCCTCCTCACATGGTGGTCTCTCTGTATGTCCTCATCTGTCTTTATAAGGACACCAGTCAGATTGTATTAGGGGCTATGTTAGCCTCATTTTAACTTAATTATATTTTTAAAGACTGTATTTCCAAATACAGTCATGTTCAGAGATAATCCTCAGGTTAAAGTTTGAGCATGTTAATTTTGGGGAGCACATTTTGGCTCATACGGATACCACAGCCTATTCAGTGAAGTGCAGGAGAGACTGGTGGCTCTTAGGTAGCTTTCTTAGTTTTTCTTTTGCATACTTATAATTGGCAACATAAAAGCAAGTGTATGTATTTGTAGACAAAATAACTGGTCTAGAAGGAACTATGAAAATGATACCTCCTGGTAGGTAGTCTGGGTGCTTAAAATCCCAAGAGGAAGGTGGCACTGATAGTGGTTAGACCTTGCTGTCTTCTTGCCACTGCAGTTTTATACTTGTGTCATAAAATGTGGGGATATAGGCAGTCTGAATGCACACGTTTTGATGCAGTATTATGACCTGAAGGCCTCAGCATTTATCTGGACTGGAAATGATTCGAGATTTATGTGATGGGCAACTGGAGGGGGCAGAAATTGGCTCAACAGAGATAACCTTTACACCAGAGAAGATCAGAGGTGGCGTCCACACAGCAGACACCAAGACAGCAGGGTATGTATTACTTATGTTCCATGCAAGTATGCACTTTGGATGTAAAGCTGGATTCACATCCAAGTTATACCACTTTCTGGGCAGGTTGCTTAACTTCTTGAGCTTGTTCCCACTTTTGAAGTAGAGATGAAGCACCTTTTTGGGGTGGAGATAGTGTAGGAAAAGTGGTGGGTACTTAGTTGCTCATTAAGTGTAGCTATCAGTGTATCTGGAAACTTCTGTATAGTATGGCATAGCATATTTGTTTCCTTACATTTTATTATTTAGGAATTGGATACCTGAAGCTAGCTTGTTTTTATGCTCTGTAGTGTTTGCATGGCAGCAAATTCAGTTTTTATTCAGTTCATAATTACATCTAATTATGAACCATGTTTTACTAGTCTTAGTTTAGATATTTTCATTTCCTTTTAATAGATACTTATGCAGCTCTATTTATAAATTTTTAGATAGAATCCTGATTTTTCTCCCATTGGAGATGAATATTTAACAATTAGACCAGCCGCGGTAGCTCACGCCTGTAATCCCAGCAAGTTGGAAGGCCGAGTTGAGAGGCTTGCCTGAGCCCACGGGTTTGAGATCAGCCTAGACAACTTGACGAGACCTCATCTCTACAATATATCAAAAAATTAGCTGGTTGTGGTAGCATGTGCCTGTAGTTCCAGCTATTTGGAAGGCTGAGGCGGAAGGATCATCTGAGCCCAGCAAGTTGAGGCTGTGGTGGCTGTGAGCGTGTCACTGCACTCTAGCCTGGGTGACAGAGTGAGATTCCAACTCAAAAAAAAAAAAAAAAAAATTAAATCATGCCCTTATCGTTTTCTGAATATCTCTTTTATTGTCACAAGAGGGAGAGCAGTTAATTTTTGTTTTGCTTTTCTGAGCGATTTGGCCGATTGCTATTGTAAGCAGCATCTTTTTACCAAAATTTTATGCATTTACTAGGAAATTTGGTGAGAGATGGCACTCTGAACCTGATGCCAGTTTATTTCAGATGTGATGGTTTTAATGGATTGTGATTTTTTTTTTTACTTTAAGAAAATGTTTAGCAATAATTGAGATGTGAATTTTGATGTAAATAGACCTCTATGAAAAGGGGCTTAAGAGTGAGGTTTGTCCAGTGAAAACTTTCCCAAGGAAATTGAAGAGTTCTGAAATGTGTTTATAATCAGCATATTATTTCAGGCATTCTGTACAAAAAGGGAAAAAAGCATAGTTAACCAGAATGAACTAAAACAGGATCATAGAACTTTGAAACTGTCAGTGGAAGCATGTGCTTTAACCCTTCCCTTTGTAAATGAGAAAGTCAAGATAGACCCCTTGGTGATATGTGATTTCCCCGAGGTGGTAGAGTTAGTGCAGAGCTAGAGTTAGAATCTAGACCTGATTCCTGCTCCATAAGAGGGTGTGATTGCAGTACCATATGTTTTCTCAGTCTCTTTGCCTTTGCAATTCCTTCTCATAACATTAAGGTTTTCTTTGCTATTCTTAGAGTCTGATTTTTTTGTGAAGAAATGAAGAAGCACTTTATATGTTGGATTACTCAGAGGGAATAAACTGTGAGAAGTTCGTGCTTTATAAGCCTATGGTTTATAGTAAGCTAAACTTTTCCCAGTTTTTCCCTTTGTTTTCAAGCTCAACTCTTTGAGGACAGGGATTATATTGCATACATTTTCTCTTACAGTGCCGAACACATAAATAGTCAGTAGATGTTTATTGAATTCATGAATTTCATTATAAGTGATGGAGACTTTCCAGTTCAGGACATGCACACCTTTGTGGTAATTGAGCTATCTTTTGGGAGGTAGACTTTGAAGTATCTAAATTCCCTTTAAACTACAATATAATTGTATGAATATAATTACTATGAATATAATTACTTTCCCTTAACTTTGGAGAAAAAGGGAGATAATAGCTCATTTAGAAAAATCTGAGATGGGGCATGGTGGCTCAAACCTGTAATCCCAGTACCCTGGGAGGCCGAGGCAAGAGGACTGCCTGAGTCTAGGAGTTCAAGACCAGCCTGGGCAACTTGGTGAGACCTTGTCTCTACAATAAATCAAAAAATTAGCTAGGCATGGTGGCATGCACTACTTGGATTGTCTGAGCCCAGCAGGTCATTGAGCGTGCCACTGCACTCCAGCCTGGGCAACAGAGTGAGACTCTGACAAGGAAGAGAGGAAGGAAAGAGGGAGGGAGGGAGAGAGGGAAGGAAAAATCTGATGAAGGAAGGAAGGAAAAATGTTTCATTCTATAAAATTCTTTATGTTATATTACTATTTCTCATGATTTATTGCATTATTAACTATAGGGACTACACAGAGGCAAGTAAAGCAATTGTTTCCCTAAAACTGTCAATCTTTATAAAGTATACTATTGTTTCATGAGCTCCACAGTGATAGGAATTATCTCTTAATACCTGGAACAGTGACCAGGCCCGGTTGCTCACGCCTATAATTCCAGCACTTTGGGAGGCTGAGGTGGAGGCGAGAGGATTGCCTGAGCCCACAGGTTCGAGACCAGACTGGGGAACTTGGCAAGACCTGGTCTCTTCAGTAAATCAAAAAATTAGCTGGGCATGGTGATACATGTAGTTCCAGTTACTTGGAAGGCTGAGGAGGAAGGATCGTCTGAACCCAGCAGGTCGAGACTGCCGCACTTCACACTTCAGCTAGGTGACAGAGTGAAACTCCGACTCCAGGATATATATATACCTGCAACAGTGCTTTTTTTGCATGGTAGCAATTCAGATATAATCAATTTAATATTTTTAGACTTTGTTTTGAATGCAGTTTCAAAAACTGCTAATTTCAATAATCCTTTTATAAAACATTTGAAGAAGGCTTTATTTTTATTTAAAATTTTTTTTTTGTTTTTTACTTCTTTGTGATATAAAGAAATGTGTTAGAACTTACCCAGGATCACACAGCTAATGTGTTTAGTCTTGGATTCATTTGCTTATCCTCTTTTTTTTTTTTTTTTTTTGAGTTGGAATCTCACTCTATCGCCCAGGTTGGAGTGCAGTGGTATCTGCTGGGCTCAGTTGATCCTTTACCTTAGCCTTCCAAGTAACTGGAACCACAGGTGCTCACCACCTCGCCTGGCTAATTTTTGATTTATTGGAGAGACAAGTTCTTGCCAAGTTGTCTAGGCAATTCTCTTGCCTCCATCTCCCAAAGTGCTGGAATAACAGGTGTAAGCCACTGCTCCCGGCCCGTTTGCTTATCATTTAAAGCTGGTTTCTTCTACTGTGAAATGTGAATTGTCTTTTCTTTTAAGATTCGTGTTTCTGCCATTCAGACAATGTGGTGTTTTTTAACTATAAACTCAAGGGCACACACCTGCCTTCTCAGTGGTCTGTGCTTCAGTAGTAGTGACAGGCACTGATACAGCTTTTTGACACTTGGGAAAGAAGATGTAGCTGAGCTGTCTGCTCTGCCTCTCCTTAGGAGCGTGTGCCTCCTGCTGCAGGTCTCCATGCCCTGCGTCCTCTTTGCTGCTGCTCCATCAGAGCTACATCTCAAAGGGGGAACTAATGCGGAAATGGCACCACAGGTCGACTACACAGTGATGGTAAGGGCGCTCACAGCTGGCAGACCGCGCAGGTCTGTGCATTCTTCTGAATGTGTATGTGGAAGGTCTTTACTGACACGTCCTGACTGTCTTGTGTGCATCCTGTCCATCTCCTCATGATGTTTAGTTCTAGTGCAGGAGAGAGTGAGGAATTATGTATGTAAGTTTTTTATTGCTTTAAAACTTCAAGTGAGGCCAGGTGCCTGTAATCTCAGCACATTAGGAGGTGGAGGCAAGAGGATTGATTGAGTGCAGGGGTTCGAGACCAGCCTGGGAAACCTGGTGAGACCTCATCTCTACAATAAATCAAAAAATTAGCCAGACGTGGTGGCGTGTGCCTGTAGTTCCAGCTACCTGGAAGTCTGAGGTGGAAGAATTGTCTGAGCCCAATAGGTCAAGGTTGCTATGACCGTGAGCGTGCCACTGCACTCCAGCCTGGGGAACAGAGTCAGACTCTGACTCAAAAAAATAAATTAATTTAAAAAAATAAAATAAAACTTCAAGTGTAATTATTATATAAATTAAATCAGTTCTTATGTTGATCTCATTTTATAAATGCAGAAATTATGATTTGCAGGAAAACAAACTTTCTTTTCATCCTTCCATTCTAGGTTCACACATTTTTAAAAAATGATAAAACTCAATAAAGAAGAGGGTATGATCTTTTATCTTCTGGTCTATTGAGGTGTCATTATTTAAATTAAAGTCACAGTTCTGTGATTTTTGACAAACATGTACAGTTATGAGTCAACCACCACAATCAACATATAAAATAGTTCTATTACTCTAAAAAATTCATTCATATCCCTTTGTAATTAGTCTTGCCCTCAGCCCCTAGCAGCTACCAGTTTGTTTTTAGAAGGCCTTTTTTTCAGAATGGCATATAAAGGAGTAATACTGTATACAGCCTTTGAGTCTTTTTTTTTAACCACAAAACATTTGAGATTCATCCATGTTGCTTGTATCTGCAATAAAAACCAAGAGTTGTGTTCTATTAAGTGGACATACCAGTTTTATTCATCCAACTGTAGAAAGACATTTGGGTTAAGTCACAGTTAACATTTATGTACAGGTTTTTTATGGCCATACATTTTTCATTTCTCTTAGGAAAGTACTTAGGAGTGGGATTGCTCGGTTGTTTAGTAGGTGTGTGACTGACTTCATGGGAAACTGCCTTATTGCCTTGGCATCTAAAGTGACCACATCATTTTGCCTTTTCACCAGCATCGTGTTAGAGTTCCAGCTGAAGCCAGGCTCAGTGGTGCATGCCTGTGATTCCAGCTACTCCAGAGGCTGAGGCAAGAGGATCGCTTGAGCCCAGGAGTTTGAGTTCAGTCTAGGCAACATAGCACAACCCTATCACTGAAAAAGAAAGGAAAAACAGAGTTCCAACTGTTCTGCATAATCCCCAGATCTTGATACTCTCAGATGTTTGTTTAATACTCTTAGATGTTTCTGCCGTTAAAAAAAAAAAAAACAAGTTTAATAACATGTATACTTCCTATATACACAGGAGATAACCCAGAGAAATGAGTAAATCTCTAGAGTAGATTCAAAAGTTGCCTTAGACTCAGACTTTGGTGCTATCTTTCTCTGAAACTTGCCATTCTCACAGATGGTATGATAACATGATCTCTTTCTTTTATTTTCTTTTTTTCTTTTTTTTTAACTTGGAGTCTCACTCTGTCACCCAGGCTGGAAATGCAGTGGCACGCTCATGGCCACTGCAGCCTCGAAGGCTGGGCTCAGGCGATCCTTTCACCTCAGCCTTCCAAATAACTGACTGGAACTACAGGTGTGCACCACCACACCTAGCTAATTTTTTATTTATTGTGGAGACGAGGTCTCGCCAAGTTCCCCGGGCTGGTCTCAAACTCCTGGGCTCAGGCAGTCCTCTCACCTCAGCCTCCCAAAATGCTGGGCCACTGCCCAGCTAGTATGACCTCTTTCAAGGCAGTTTGATGGGATCTCTGATGAAGATTAACTGCTCTTCACCTAGTAATTTCACAAGGAAGTGGCCCTCACTAAATGTGACAAAATAGAGGAAAGATAAGGGTATTTGAGCAGAGCATTATATACTGTGATTATCATTACATACAGCATCATGTCAACAAAAGCTTGGAGAATGGTTAAATGAATTACGCTAGGATGCCAAGCAGTCATTCAGATATTATTTAGGAAGAATTTCATGATGTCAGGAAAACACGTATGTTTATAACATTAACTGGAAAAAATAAGGATAAAGCGTTGTACATATAGTGAGGTCAACTGGGTAAATTCTGAGTAGGCAGGATGGAAAGCTGCTCACCAGTCCCCCAATTCTTACAGTGGAGATGGGCTGGGAAACACTGGCTTTGGGGTAAAATAACCACTGGGTGCGGATTCTTTTTATTAGATAGACTTGGACAGCCCTGATTAACTAAATGTTCAACTTGTAAATTTTAGCAAATCAGTTTCATTTGAAAAACAGAATGGCCTACACATGATATCATTTACCTGTAGTGCCTAATGCTAGCTCAGCAGAGCACTTTTGTTTAGTCAGTATACTTGTTGAACTAGTAAATATTGATGACTAACATAACAATAAACTGATTTTTCAGGTTTTCAAGCCAATTGTTGAAAAATTTGGATTCAAATTTAATTGTGACATTAAAATGAGGTAAGCTGCTTATTTCTCAGCCCTTTAGATCCATTGGTTGTGCTAAAAATTGGGGAAAGTTAGACCTTAGAGAACTGTTTTTCTGGAACCCACTTGATACATTACATTTCTTGTAGGAAATAATTGTGCAATGTGGCCTAAAAACGGTAAACAGGCCTGAGGACTTAGAAGAGCTGCACATGATACTAGTTTGTTTCTTGGGAGAATACTTTCAAGGGAACTTTCCCACGGAGGCACCATCACATCTAGTGTCGTGCCACACCCCAGACAGATTAAATACTCACCTTGAACAGTGAGCTGAACCAGGCACTGCGGGATTGTAAAAGGGGTTCACTTTTAAAAAGAGATCAGAATTATGTTCTTAGGAGACACATTGGACATTCAGGTCATTTATCTTTTATGGTTCCCCTCTGCCACATAATAGGCCAGATTTCCTGGCACGGCACGTAAGTGTTTTTGCGGTCTTACCTCAACTTACCTTTCCAACCTCGTCGCCCCGCCTCTTCCTGTCAACACACCATATATTCTAACCACACAATTGCTTGCTTCTATTCCTTAATGAACTTTCATCTTTGTGTTATTCTTGCACCTTCCTGAAAATTAGAAATCCTGTGTTTTTTAAAACTTGTAATTACTCACGTAAATTGTCTGTGATGTGCCTCAATCAGAATTTGTGTTTGCACCTATGCTGTAGTCTTCCTTACAGCCTCACTTGTATTCTAGTAGTTAGCGTGTGGCGCCATCTCCCTACCAGATGGTGGGCTCTCAGATGCTGGAGTGATGTCGTTCCCAGCATCTGTTATAGAATAAATGACTCCAATTAACTGAGTTAAAAAATTATTTGTGTTTAGCTACTTAAATGCTCATCATATATTTATTTGAGCACCTAATATGTGCCAGACGTTGTTTTAGACACAGGATAATAGCTAGGAACTTAAATCTAAAACAGCACTTCAAATTGGACTATATACATTGAAGGAAATGTTTGTGGTCTATGCTGTTCTGTTTGGTAGTCACTAGCCACATGTGACTATTGAGCACTTAAAATGTGGCCAGTAAGTTTGAAACCAGCCTGGGCAACATAGCAAGACCCTGTCTCTACAAAAAAAACAAAAATACAAATTAGCCAGGTGTGGCGGCTCACACCACAGCTAGCTACACCTGCAGTCTACTCGAGAGACTGAGACTGGAGGATTGCTTGAGCTTAGGCGGTCAAGGCTGCAGTGAGCCATGATCTCACCACTGTACTCCAACCTGGGTGACAGAGGGAGACTCTGTCTTTAAAAAAAAAAGAAAGAAATTGTGACTAGTGAAATTGGGGAGCTGATTTTGAATTTGTATTTAATTTTATTTAATTTCAATAGTTGCATGTAGCTTAAGACTACCATGTTAGCCAGGTGCGGTGGCTCATGCCTATAATCCCAGCACTCTGGGAGGCAGAGGTGAGAGGATTGCCAAAGCCCAGGGGTTTGAGACCAGCCAGAGCAACTTGGTGAGACCTTGTCTCTACAATAAATTTAAAAAGTAGCCATGGTGGTGCACTACTTGGGAAACTGAAGCAGAAAGATTGCCTGAGCCCAGCAGGCTGAGGCTGCAGGAGCCATGAGCATGCCATTGCACCCCAGCTTTGGCACAGAGTAAGACTGTGACTCAAAAAACAAACAAAAAACTACCATATTATACAACAAAATATTTAGATCTTCCCATGAATTACACATTTGAATAGTATTCACATTTTATTGTAATATGGAGTTTCATTTTTGTCATGCAGTCAGTTTATGTGGGTTTTTGTTATACTCTTCACAGGGGATATTACCCAAAAGGGGGTGGTGAAGTGGTTGTTCGAATGTCACCAGTTAAACAGTTGAATCCAATAAATTTAACTGACCGTGGCTCCGTGACTAAGATATATGGAAGAGCTTTTGTTGCTGGTGTTTTGCCATTTAAAGTAAGTTGTCTAGATGTTCTTGGAAATGTGTTTGTGTCTTGATAAGTACATTATCTAAATTTGGAAATTATTAAAGAACTTACTTTTTAATTTTTTTTTTAGTTTTTTTATTGAGTTTATTATTGAGAGTGTATTTACATGTAATGAAGTCCAGTTCTTTCACAGATAAGCTTTACAAATATTTTCTCTTCTTCTGTGGTTCATTTTTATTTTTAATTTTTTAATTTTTAATTTTAAAGATATGGGGTACAATTCTGGGTTAGGTATACAAATGTTCATTATGCAGGTACCCTTATTGATGAGGTGTGCCCCCTCACCCCGTGGCAGTTTCCCACTTCTGCCAATTCCGCCACTACCCCTCCTCGCTTTTAATTTTTTTATTAAAACTTAAAATTCAGTGCTCTCTCTACTCTTGAAAATCAAATTATTAAATAATGCATGTGAGAGTTAGCAATTATGTGTCTTTGAAGACTTGAGAATAGTTTTCCAAATAATCATTAATTATTATATTTCCCTTTCTTGCCAAAATAGGTAGCAAAAGACATGGCGGCAGCAGCTGTGAGAGGCATCAGAAAGGAGATTCGGGATTTATACGTCAACATTCAGCCTGTTCAGGAGCCCAGAGACCAAGCGTTTGGCAATGGCAGTGGCATTATGTGAGGCTTGAGTCTTCTTCCTGGATATAGTTGAGAGGTTGAAATAATTCCCCGTTTAAGCTAGAGACTTGTAGTTTTTGACTTAAATTTATAGTTGTAAGAAGTTTACATTTATATTTTTAAGGGCATGCCTATCTAAAATAGCACTGTGTAACTAGGCGTGGTGGCTGGTGCTTGTAATCCCAGCACTTTGGGAGGCAGAGATGAGAGGATTGCCTGAGCCCAGGGGTTCTAGACCAACTTGGGCAACCTGATGAGACCTCGTCTCTACAAGAAATCAGAAAATTAGCTGGGAGTGGCAGCACGTGTCTGTAGTTCCACCTACTTGGAAGACTAAGGCAGAAGGATCACCTGAGCCTAGCAGGTTGAGACTGCGTTGGCTGTGACCATTGCACTCCAGCCTAGGCAACAAGGTGAAACTCTGACTCAAAAAATAAAATAAAATAGCAGCCAGGCGCGGTGGCTCAAACCTGTAATCCCAGCACTTTGGGAGGCTGAGGTGAGAGGATTGCCTGAGCGCAGGGGTTCGAGGCCAGCCTGGGGAACTTGGTGAGATCTCATCTCTACCATAAATCAAAAAGTAAAGCTGGGCATGGTAGCGCATGCCTGTAGTTCCAGCTACTTGGAAGGGTGAGGTGGAAGGATCGCCTGAGCCCATCATTGAGGCTGCCACTGCACTCCAACCTGGGCAACAGAGTGAGACTCCAACTCAAAAAAATAAATAAACGCTTATGAATTAAGATACTCCTAAATTTTTTGAGGATGGTTTGTCTTCTTTCTGTTACACTGTGAGATTCGTTTTACTTAATATAGTGAGCTTGAATGTGTAAGCTAATTGGATTTAGGCGTTGAAACTAGTCTTATAAGAGATATCTCCAGTTGCTTAAAATTAGTTCACTAATACATACTAAATACAGCAAAGATTTCTTTAAAAGCAGAATAGAACTCTTTTGTTACTCTAATCAGGAGTTATAGATTTAAGTGTTATAAAAATGCTTTAATTAATGTTTTTGAAGTATAAGACTATCATTTGTGAATATTTAAATTTCAAGTCCTCATATTCAGATTTTCTACTAAAGGTTTTTAAGTAAGTGCCTGCTCTACTTAGAATAATGCTACCTAAAAGCTATAGAACTGTACCAAAAGTCCCTTCATAATGACCTTTTTATTTAAGACAATGTACCTGTGAAATGGTGCCATTAGTGCTGATGACATGGTAACTTTGGGGCTGGAGGGTGGGGGTGAGTGGAGGGGGGCACACACCTTCGTGTGGTATCTGGTGAAACTCAGGTCAAGTGTAGAGTGTGATGGTCTGATTGAGGCTGATTGAGAATGCTCGTCATGCCGGCCCTGGGTGGAGAACTTCACATTCGCACTCTCCGGGTTTAGCTCTGCCTATTTGGCAATCACTGTTTTCTTGTGTTGTATTTGCGTGTGATTTTATAGTATTTATAGAATGGATAGTAATAACTGTTTTTCCTTGTATAGAATTATTGCTGAGACATCCACTGGCTGTTTGTTTGCTGGGTCATCGCTTGGTAAACGAGGTATGGATAAGTGAAGGGGGCCCATACTTCCAGTGCATTCTTTAATATTGTAAACATTCTCTAATATTGTCAGGATTGGAGTGTTATAAGATAATGAATGACAAGTTTAGAAGGATATAATTAACGGATTCTGTTTTAGAGTCAGTTAAACTTTGAGTCCTTCTTCTTACTTTATACTTTGAGAAATGTCAAACCGATAGGAAAGTTGAATGACTAGTTGACATAGTCATCCACATACTCTTCTGGATTCACAAGTTGTGACATTGAAATAAATGCATGTTGTGTACATTTCTGGACCATTTCGAAAATGTAAGTTGCAGGTACTGTGTATCTCACCCCTGAACACTGCAGTGTGCACATGCAAAGAACAATACTCACATTATCATAATTCTTGCAGTTTTTTTAAACACCTGAAGAATGTGTCTGTTAACATCCAGACACATAGGAAATATTCATATGTAATGAGTTGTTTACAAAATATTATTTAAAGCAAACATGGAATTTTTTTGGGTGAGGCATACACATGCATTTGTCTGTCAAGTCTGCTAAGTCTTTTAAAACAGAAAACTTCCATTACCTTTTTTTCTTTTATGATATTGACCTTTTTTTTTTTTTTTTAAGTTAGAGTCTCGCTCTTATGTCTAGGCTGGAGTGCAGTGGCATACTCACAGCCACTGCAGCCTTAACCTGCTGGGCTCAGGCGATCCTTCCGCCTCCGCCTTCCAAGTAGCTGGAATTCAGGCATGTGCCACCACACCTGGCTAATTTTCTTGATTTTTTTGTAGAGACAAGGTTTTGCCAAGCTGTCCAGACTGGTCTTGAACCCCTGGGCTCAGGTAGTCCTCTAGCCTCCACCTCCCAAAGTGCTGGGATCTCAGATGTGAGTCACTGTGCCCAGCCATATTTAATATTTTTAGTCAAAATATTGCATAGGTGGTTTTGTGTATATTCCACTGCATCACATCAGGGGCACATAATGTCAGTGTGCCCTTTACTGGTGAGGCCGAGTATGGTTACTTGGTTAAGAAGGTGTGTCTTCCAGAACTGTCTGCTAAAAAGCTTCCTTTTCCCTTTATAATTAACAAGTAATCTGGGACCATCTGTTGATGATTCTTCCTTGCATTAATTACTGCATTGATGACTTCAAAATATTTAATATTTTTGTGAAAGGGAAATTTAAGATTTGGCATGTTAGAGAGAGGAGATACATGCGTGCATCTGTGTGTTAACATTTTAAGTTACTTTTGCCAGCCAGGCAACTTTTAGGTGAATTTCTGATTGTTTGTGTGGTAGTTGATTGCTTTATTCCTACTTTATGGTATCTTTAATTATACTGACCTTAGCTATGCTGCTGAACCATATTATTACTACTGAATGCAAAAATTTTAGACTGTCTTAGTCTGCTCAGTTGCTACATATCTAGATGTTAGATGGGCACCAAATCTGATCCCCAGAATAAATCTCCATCTACAGCTAACAAAAGAATTCTACCTATGTAGAACATAGACAACAGATCAGCATCATCTGGGAGTTTGCTAGAAATACAGATTTTGGGCCCTGTCCCAGACCTATTGAATTAGAAGCTCTGGACTGGGCACAATGGCTCATGTCTGTAATCCCAGTACTTTGGGAGGCTAAGGTGAGAGGATTGCCTGAGCCCAGGGGTTTGAGACCAGCCTGGGCAACTTGGCGAGACCTCATCTCTACAATAAATCAAAAAGTTAGCTGGGTGTGGTGGCGCCTGCCTATAGTTCTAGCTACTTGGAAGGCTGAGCGGGAAAGATCCCCTGAAACCAGCAGGTCGAGGCTGCGGTAGCCATGAGTGTGCCACTGTACTCTAGCCTGGGCGACAGAGTGAGACTGATTCAAAAAAAAAAAAAATTAGAAGCTCTGGGAGCGGGGCCCAGTAATCTGTGGTTTAATAAGCTCTCCGGGTACTTTTAGTGTATACTGAAGTTTGAGAAGTAGTGATCTAAACTATGTATTTTATATATATTAACTGTGTTAGATATAGTGAGGGATCAGTGTGGACGCAGAGCCATTGCACACAGTGGCTACAATAATCTTGAGGATCAAAGAGAGCAGTTAGAAAGCCAAGACTAGAGCAGACATGTTGCTTGCTGTAAGTGCCTGGCAGGCAATGGGAGAAACGTGAGCTCAGTTTGCTTATACTAACATTGGGTGCCTCGATGTACCAGGTACATCGAGGCACTGTAGATGCGGAAGGGAGATGTACTGTCCTCCTGGGTTATTCTGGCAGATGAGGCAGACCCATTCTATTATGGTGGTATCCCTAGAGTACCATAGGAACACAAGAAAAATGAAGTGATAGTGACCCCAGAGCTGGTGCCTGCTGTTCTGCGGTCCTCCTGTGGGTTTCCGGGGATAAATTGAAGTTAGTTGGATGGAAAAGCAAGAACTAGGGAAGAAGGACAGAGGAAGTTGAATAAACAAGCATTCTGCTGCTGCTGCTGCTGCATGTTGGTAGTCCCAGCTACTCAGGCAACTGGGCAGGAGGATTGCTTGAGCCCAGGAATTTGAGACTAGCCTGGGAAATATAGAAGACCCTATCTTTAATTTTTATTTCTTGGGTTTGGAATTTCATTTTGTCTCCCAGGCTGGAGTGCAGCCTCGGTTTGCTGGGCTCAGGCAATCCTTCCACCTCAGCCTTCCAAGTAGCTGGAACTATAAGTGCATGCCACCATACCTGGCTAATTTTTTGATTTATTATAGAGACGAGGTCTTGCCAAGTTGCCCAGGCTAGTGTCAAACTCCTGGGCCGAGGGCAATCCTCTTGCCTCTGCCTCCCAAAGTGCTGGGATTACAGGTGTGAGCCACCATGCCCCACCCAGACACCATATCTTTAAAAAAGAAGGGAAAGGTTCTATGTTTGACTGACTGTTGATGAGTACAGAGTCAAGGCAAATGGAAAGTTCAGCCGCGGCCAGAATGGTAAGGGTCTGCCACATCGAATGTTGGGCTGGAGAGGCGAGTGTTGACACATGGGTATTGACAAGGACGGGCGGTGAATTTGGTGAGCAGCTGGAAATGGAAGATGAGGAAGGCAGTGTGAAAGAATGACCTAATGTTGAGCATGGGTAACTGAATACATTTATGACTTGTGAGTATCGGAAGTAGAGTTGGTTTGCCAGGGTAGATAATGTAGGTACCTTGCATTGAGATTGTAAGGGACCATTACACTATCAGCAGGATATGGAATTTATTGACTGGGCCTGAAAACAGTTCCTTTTCTGATACTCTGTCAGCATTTTTTCTCACCTTGTCATATGAAACAACTTGTACTTTGACATTGCCTTTGGACGGCACACTCCCAAGGTGCATAGTCCTCGGGTTTGGGCGTCTAGTGGTAGGAGACGTAGAGAGGAGGGCAGCACTCCTGCTGAGATGCTTGACTCCTACTCCTTCCCTTGTTTCCTACCAGCACAAGTGTTGAATAAGGCATTGATAATGACTGCAGAGGTGACTGGGATCTTGTCCTGCATGTAAGTTGTCTGTGTATTAAGGATCGCAGAGAGGATGTCATGGCCTGTGTTATCCGGGTTCCCTTTCATTTCTGATTTAAATTAACTGGAAAATGACTGAACCTGGAAGCTTGATGTCTGGAGTTATTACCAGAAGCGACACTGCTGGTTGTCAGTGCACCATGTGTGGTGTAGGCAGTAGGCTGTGACTAGTTGTGCTTTTGTTGTTGGCTCAGTTACTAAAACTGTTTTATCTTGGTTTCCTTTCTGTTGAGTGAGAAGATTAGGCTGGAGAATCTCCAAAATCCTCCTAGTGATACCATTCTTAATCTTGTTTTTCAAAAAAGAAGTTGGTTTTGTCTGAGAGAATTTTGCCATTGAATATGAAGACAGTACATGATAACAGAGAGCCCTAAACTGAGAGCGGGAGGGCCTGCATTCTAGTCCTGTGTCTCCCATCACCCTGATAGTGCCCCTGGCCTGTCCTTGCCCTAGGAATGAGATTGGACCACGGTCTGTGTGTAAGGGACCCTTCTAGCTCTAGATGATTGCATGGTGCACAGAAGGTAATATTTTCTTTCCATTGTAGAATACCTATGCATTTTTTTTATTACTCTTGTCTTTCAGTGAGTTACGTTCTTTACCTTGAGAGCAAAACAATCTGCTAAGATGAATTCTGTATCTGGTTAAGCAACCCCGTTTCCTTTATATGGAAATAGCCTCACTTCTAAGCACCTTCCTTCTTTCCTTCAGACTCTGATAGTTTATGGCATCTCTCTGATGTTCTCAAATAAGGCCATGGCCTTCTCTGTTCAGTTTGATAACCATTTTATAATTTTGTCCTTTTTTTTTTCTTTTGAGTCAGAGTCTTACTCTGTCGCCCAGGCTGGAGTGTGAGTGCAGTGGCACGCCACCGCAGCCTTGACTCCTGGGCTCAGGCGATCCTTCCACCTCAGCCTTCCAAGTAGGTGGAACTACAGGCGTGCCATCACCATACCCAGCTAATTTTTCTTGACTTATTGTAGAGATGAGGTCTTGCCAATTTGCCCAGGCTGGTCTCAAATCCCTGGATTCAGGCAATCCTATTGCCTCTGCCTCCCAAAGTTCTGGAATTACAGGTGTGAGCCATTGTGCCTGGCAGAAGTCAGAAGGCACCCAGATCATTGACTATTTATTTCAATTTCCTATATAATAAACCATCAAAATTGAGACTTATTTTAAGAAAACTTTGACATAGAAAAGTAGTTAATTAGTTAGAAAAGTGTTAAGATTGTAGAAGGAATGAGGATTTTGTTCACCTTGAGGGTCATAATACTAACAAACAAGATTGTCAGTATTCATTCTGTTCAATTGCTAAGACTCCTAGTAATGGCTGATAAAAATGAAATCATCATTTATAGCCAAGGGTTTCTTTGAAGTAAATACCTAGCCAGGCATCGTGACTAATGCTTGTAATTCCAGTCCTTTGGGAGGCCGAGGCAGGAGGATGGCTTGAGCCCCAGGGGTTCAAGATCAGCCTGGGCAATGTAGCAAGACCTTGTCTCTACAAGAAATTATTGAAAAATTAATTAATTAGATACCTTAAAGGAAAATGTGGCATTCCACTGCTTCTGACAGGCTTCCATTTTGTCCAGTGTTGTGCTGAAGACTCTTGGGTATGTGTGGAGAGGCAGGAAGTTCAGGGTGAGAGCCAGATGTTAAGACTTGTTCAAAATGTGATGACATTTATGCCTGTTTACATCTTAATGGAAGTCAGGGTCTAAAATGCTTGCTCCCAGATGGGCTCAGTGGCTCAGCCTATAATCCCAGCACTTTGGGAGGCTGAGGCAAATGGATTGCCTGATCCTGAGGGTTAGAGACCAGCCTGGACAACTTGGCGAACCCTCGTCTCTACAGTAACTAAAAAATTAACTGGGCATGGTAGCATGTGTCTGTAGTTCTGGCTACTTGGAAGACTGAGGAGGAAGGATCGCCAGAACCCAGCAGCTTGACGTTGGGGTAGCCATGAGTATGCCACTGCACTCCAGCCTGGGTGACAGAGTGAGACTCCAACTCAAAATAAATAAAATGAAATATAATACTTGCTCTGAGAAGGCTATATGCTCTTCTCTAGATAACACTTAATTTCCTGACTTTTGAGAAATTCTTTAATTCTGATGGAATTGCCTGCAGGCTGTTGTAAGATGTATGTATATACTGCGTTTTAAGTTTTGAAATTCAGGCATAGTGTTATAGGGTCATAATTTAGTTATAAATTGGCTTTATAATAAGTGCATTTTAAGCAGGGAAAGCAGCTTATTTTTTCCTCTACTAGTGCATTTAAGAATTTGGATATGTCAAGTTCTCTGAAGACTAAATAGCTGCAGATCTTATCCTAAAAGGTACAGTGGGTGAATTCAGAGGCCTCAAAATGTATTCCAGTGCTAAGTGGAATATATGCAGAAACTTCTCCCTTTGGGTGATTGCCTGTTTATACATTCTGTTTGTCTTAAGGTGTAAATGCAGACAAAGTTGGAATTGACGCTGCCGAAATGCTGTTAGCAAATCTCAGACATGGCGGTGCTGTGGATGAATATCTACAAGACCAGGTAAAGGGGTGAGCACCTTCTGGCCTGGTAGTTTTGAAGAGATGGAGATGAGGTTGGATACGAGTTTTAATCACTGACCTGCAGACACTGGCTAGTGAGTCCTCCAACGATCATTTTTAAGAGTTCTGGAATTTATATTTCTCCAGTTTTAGTCCTCATCTTACCTGACCTGCCAATGGCATTTGACTCAGTTCACTCCTTCCTTTGTGGAATGGAATACTTTCTTCAGTGGTTTAGGTTTCTCCTCCCT